GTGATTCAAGATTAGTCGAGAACATACACCAGCATGGTCGAGATCTTTTCCGCCAGTCCAAAGCAAACAGCTTCGCCAATGTTTCGATCATGAGCAACTGCCTCAGGTCAAAGGTGCTGGAGGGGAGAAAGGTTCCCATGATCAATGCTGATGCTATGGAAAAAGTGATGGGGCCCCAGTGGGATGGCAAATTGAAAGGCAGTGTGTGAAGAACAGCCTGAAGTCCTATGCCAAGAAAGTGCCCCTGTCCATCCAGAAGCTGATGGTAAAGAAGGGAAAGAACCACACTTGGGCAACTCCAGGCCCACATTCACTATTCCTAGCAGCATCTTCCTCAGCTTGGCTCTTCCACTTCTGGGAGCAGAAGGACAGCAAATACAAAGGACTACCAGCCAATGCTTCCTGGATCTCATTCTTGGCCAGGCCTGGGTCTGTACTAGCTCAAAGGTCCACTGGTTGTCTCATCAAGGTCATTGCAGCAGCTGAATATGGCTTCTTGGGGGTGTTGCTGCAAGTGGTGGACTCCCTGCATGGCAGGGCCTATGTTTGCAGGCCACAGAGGGATGATATCTTTTGGAGCCACATTGTCGACTTGGAGGACTGGCTCGAAATTGAAGTGGAGCCCTTTCTGACACAGGGAAGCAGGGGGGCCATTGGGTGGAAGCCAACTGGCCAAAGGTTTGATTTGAGAGCATCTGCCATGATCTTTGGCCATGTTGTGTCGCACCTGCAATTGAGAAAGCTTATTGAGGACCTCAGTGGTATGCCACCAAAGGGCAACCAATCCAAGGAGAAGCTGCGCCACCAATTCATTGACATGGTGGTTCCAGAGGAGTTCTTGGAAAAAGCCAGGGGGCATGTGCAGAAGAGCAGAGGAAAGAAAAAGACAGATGATGAAACAAACTATGACATAGACCTTTCTGAGATTTTGTCTGAGCTAGGGCAGCAGGATGGCAATGCCCAGGACCTCAAGGATTTCAAGGAGAAAAAGAAACATAGGATGAGGAAACTGCTTGCAGAGCACAAGCTTGCTGACCAGCCAGTGGTTCCCAAAAGAAGAGCCAAGGCCAAGGCAAAAGGGAAGGCTAAGCCCAAGGCCAAGCCCAAGCCTGGACAATTATGGAGATCCTTCATGAACAGGGCACAGAAATTGAAACAGGATGCTGACAAGGCAAGGGAGGATGAAAAGAACCAAGGCATGGCTCCAGAAGATCAGGCAAAGGAAGGAGAAACTGGAAGGGGAGAAGGAGAAAGTGGAAGGGGAGGAGGAGAACTTGGAAGGGGAGGAGGAGATGATGGAAGGGGAGAAGGAGAAAGTGGAA